CAAACTGCTCTTAACATACTTGGTACAACCTGTCACAAGTTAGGCTTAGTTATAAATGCAGATAAAACCAAATATGAGTATAGGAAACGAAGAAATATAACTCTAAATGGTGTGGAACTGAGCCGTGTTCAGAAGTACAAGTGTCTGGGCATGTATGTCGGATACACATGTGAGTAAAAATGCTGAAATAAATCATATCAGCACCTTATGTAAAGCCCGTCTGCATCCTCTAAAAGCACTGGCTTTTTCTGGTAAAGGTGTTGGGGTACCTATCTTACGGATGTTATACATAAGCACTGTTCGGTCCCTGATAAGACTACGCAGCACCCGTTTTGTCTTACACAGGCCAAGGCAGAATTCAAAAAATAGAGCTGATACAGAACGAGGCTATGAGGATTATTCTTGGATGTCAAAGAAATGCAATGATTAAAGTAATGAGAATGGAATTAAATTTACAGTGTGTGTGATAGAGTCCGTGATATTAACACTAGAGTAGCTATTCGTTTCATGCGGAGAAAAGGAGGGGATAAGCTGTTTGAGAGCGTTCAGACCTGCTTGAGTGACGTACACACTTCCAGGAAACTGAGGGAGACACGCTACGCGAGGGGATTAGCTCATGACCTCAGGGAATACGATGTACTTGACTGCTGTAAACCCTCTCGACAGTGTAATATGTCTGCTCCCTGGAAAGTACAGAAAATAGACGTCGAAATTGTACCCCTCAAGGTGAAAAAGATTCATCATGAACCGGGACAATTACGGTGTTTGTATGGAAGCATGATATCTCGGTTACCAAGAGGCAACAGTTTACATGTATATTGCGACGGGTCGGTGGCGGAGGATGGCAGGGCAGGGTGTGGTGTCCTAATAAGGGAATATACGGAGTTTGGGACTGTGGACAGGATAATTGAACTCCGACTTAGTAATTATATATCATCCACACAAGCTGAACTGCAGGCCATTCTGGCGTGTTTGGAGGAAGTACGTCATGACGACAAAAATGTTTTTGTATTTGTCGATAGCCGAGGAGCACTGGAGTCCTTAAACAGTCGAAACCCAGTCTTCATGTCTATAGTTGAGGATTGTAAGAGAAGAATAACTGAGATACAGCTGAAAGGTCATAGTGTGAAATTCATGTGGATTCCATCTCATGTTGGAATAGTGCTCAACGAGGTGGCGGATGACTTGGCCAAACGTGCCACATCAAAACCACACGTTGACATTGAATGGGAATTCACAATGAGACAAATAAGAAGCAAAATCAGAAATATTCAGGCACAGGCAGGAGTGGAGAGGAGAGGGATAATGTATGAGAGAAGTCTAACCATGCAACACTACATGTGAGTCAAAACACCCATTTCACTTATGGTAAAAGGAGAAATGCTTGGAGTGACTCTGTGTACATGCGGCTCAGGCTTGGGTACAAATATTACTGGGAATATGGGATAGGTGTTCATGATAATGACACGAAGTGTAAACTATGTGGTATGTTAAGGTCTCACACCCTTGCCCATTATGTTCTTGATTGTCCGTTGATTAATGTATATAGAAACATTGAGATAAGGACTGTTCTTGAGCAAATAGCCTGGATGTGTCACGAAGGAAAGGTTGATGATATTCTTGAGAGATATAAGAATTTTGCACCAAGACTGTAATATTTTGTTGAATTATCTGCATGTCTCTTGCAAATTGTCTATACAGTATAACTAGGTCATAAAAGTATTTGTGTGTACGTCTGATACCATTCTACTTGTGAAGGAGGAAATGTACATGTTTATCTCTCAGAATGTTTGGTAACAGGTTTATTGTTTGTGATGTGTGTACTAACACGTTGTACTGAACGGGGTGAGAATAGCTTGAGCTACCTCATCCCTTTGTGTGTATTTTACCTCAATAAACTTATTTCAATTTCAATTCCTCTGGTGTCGTTGGAAGGGGGTGGGAGGGGGGGGGGGGGGGTCGGTAAGATATCGTGGTGGAAAACCCACCCAAATTTCCGCCCTTTAACGATCTGAGGGTAGCCTAATGGTTAATGCCCGAATGGTCCCCAGGACTATATGCAACTGAAATCTCACACCCCAGAAGTGACTCGAACCTATACTGCCAGGAGCAATGCAAGTGGTGTGTACAGAAAACCTTAATCCACTCGACCATCACGACCGGATATAAGGAGGTGATAGCCGAAGCTATTTGAGCCACCCCCCCCCCCCCCTCCGCCGGCACTCGGATGGTAATCTTGGGCATAGTATTTTATCAAATCACCTCATTCTTTGGGGCACACGTGAGGAACACAAATACGAACAAGCCTGGGGTGTGAGTTTTCAGTTATATATATTGTCACGTGGAGGGTGGTGGGCCGGGGCTCTGCTAGCACTCGGCTGCTAGGGGCTCAAAAGGCCGAATACTCAGCCCCTCCGACTCCCGGGATTCACCGGAGTCTCCTTGGTCACACAGGAGAGGACCAACAATGCCCACCTCCGCAGGTCTTTGCTTCCACCACAAAAGGGGTGCCACTGATTCACCCTGGAAGCCCTTCAGTCAAACACGGGGAAACTGCTGTTAACAGTTCCGGCCTAGACCCGTGGAGGAGTGAAGGAAGACTCAGGCTTACCTTATAACAATAACCACCCTGAGTCTTGCCTGCCAGACAAAAGAGGTTGCAGGAACTCCTTTCCCGCCTGTCTTCTCTATCTTCTTCTTAGCAAGGTCGCCAGCTGGGTTATTATATCTGCACCCCAGCAATGCAGTTCAGTGGGTGTATTATATATTGTTTGTAGCCAGAAGATTGCTACTCCCATAGATCTGCTACTAGACTGTTGGCCCAGGGTACTCTCCCAGGAAGGTCTGTGTGGCTTTACCTCTCTCTAGCCACTACGTTGATAGTTGCCACCATTCAGGCACCGATACTGATCGGATGGCTAAGGGTACACTTTTATGTAAGTCTGTGCTGTCTTTACCACCCTCCAGGCAATAAGAACTTCTATAGAGAACGTTGTGTCCCCTAGGTGGTACTATGATAACCTTCGTGTATGCTCATAGAGAATTATCATAAATGGAGGCACACTTAAACACAGTGATAAAATGTGTGAATTTACTGATGCAAATTACATGAACACACACACAATCACAAGTAATACATGAATATGGAAATATGGATAATAAGTCTGGAGATCGTCAGCCTCTTCTTCCACGACCTCCAACACTCCTTCAACTGAGCAGAAAGACAGGAGTCCCACACTCTCACACAGGAGGGCCTCTTCACCACGTCGGCGCCTCTCCTTCACTGTCCTGCCATCCATACACACTGTCCCCTCTGACAGTCCTGGACACAAGCTGCCTTGCAGCCTACTCTACTACTAAAGTATTAATGTCCTGTTGCCACATACATAACTATTGTGGCCTAACTAGCCTACTCACACAAGGGGTAATGGGAGGGAAAATGATCTACCTTACATTCCTGGCTCACGACGCCTGTCCCTCGATGGTGTGAGGTTCCCACGCTTCCTTGGGTCGATCCTTGACGATCCAGGACGTTCCACAGGTCCTCAGGTGTCGTGGAGCCTTCGCGTCGTCGCCGTTCCAATCCCTGAGATTCAGCTGCCCCAATCCTGGTTCATCGGTAGGCGCTGAGCTAATCACTATTTTTCCCACACTTGCCCCTTCCACAAGGCGTTGCTCCTTGTCCTAGGCACGGTGTCGTCCTTCCAAGACCCTCAGTGGATGTGACCCAGTCACAGCTAGGCTTGCCCGCCACACCTTTTCTGACCCTCAACGTCCAACGTCGCCGCCCTGCGTCGTCGCTGAATATTTTCCAAGTTTGGCCCTCTTCCGCTCAATAAACTTGGTTCCTTTTGCTTCCCAGAAGCGCGGGGTCTCCAATATATCCGGTGGGCTGCAATAGCCAGCACTAATCCACCAAGAAAGGCTTGTAGAGCCTCTAATCCTGGAGAGCAGACCGAGGTGCGTCCTGTCGCTTCCAAGGTCGGGTCACTTCTGACGTTGGCGCCGCCCAGGGCACTCGGTGACGTCATGGCGGGCCCTGATTTGTCGCCCGCGACCTACGTCGGCCAATCCGCGATCGGCCAGTGTCCCTTCCAAAAGGTCATATCTGCATTAGGGGATACTCTTTCATTTTATAACAGGGCGCCAATTTCTCTTTATTTACAACTTATAATGTAACTTCCTTCCTTTAACTGGCAGCCGGTCTGGTCGCCACATATATCATTAGACTCCCTGAACCTCAGAGAATCAGTAGGGAGAGCTGATATGACTCTTAAAGCAGGCAAACGAAAGAGGTAGGAGAGGGCACCGTAACAATATATATATATATATATATATTTTTGGTACAAGGACGTGCCGAGTACAATGCCGAGTACGCACTTCTCGGCCTACTATGCAAGGCCCGATTTGCCTAATAAGCCTAGTTTTCCTGAATTAATATATTTTCTCAAATTTTTTTCTTATGAAATGATAGAGCTACCCATTTCATTATGTATGAGGTCAATTTTTTTTTATTGGAATTAAAATTAACATAGATATATGACCGAACCTAACCAACCCTACCTAACCTAACCTATCTTTATAGGTTAGGTTAGGTAGCAGAAAAAGTTAGGTTAGGTAGGTTAGGTAGTCGAAAAACAATTAATTCGTGAAAACTTGGCTTATTAGGTAAATAGGGCCTTGCATAGTAGGCTGAGAAGTGCGTTCTGGCTACTAGGTACGACATATATATATATATATATATATATATATATATATATATATAACAATTCATTCAATTTCTTTCTTTATTATACACTCCATACCCATCACGTGAGCGGTGGTGGAAAGGGTTACAGGGGAACATAATAGTTCATTTAGCTTAGCAAGGGACAATCTTTTGAAGCTAGTTACACAATTAAACAGAACAGCATGGTGACTATTATCAATTTTCTTTTGGATATTTTCCATTCTACGCAAATATCTTCTACAAACGAGAGGGTAAAGAAACACTAGACCACTAAATCTTTCAATTTTTATTGGAACACCACAACACCATTCAAAATAGCCAAGACATAGTGAAATATACGACAGTAATCACGCGCCACGACGATCGTAGGAGGCTTCTTACACTTGAGGCTGTGTTCATTTGGGAGCTGATACCTGTAATCAACATCCAGGTGAACTCGACTTCGAATATACAACTGTTCGATGGTCCTCCATTGATCCAGAGGGAAGGGAAGATCTGGCACACCGCTAGAAGCCGGAGGCAGGCACCAATCACCTCACTCTACCCTTCGCCGCTCCCGACGATTGGGGGGGACGATTGGATGGGTAGATGATTCGTAGAGTGAGGTGTACCCACACTTATAAATGTCTAGATTTCTCCAGCAGTAGTTTACGGGCTATTCATGCCCATGCCATTTCTTGGGTAGCTTATTCTTCATCAATCAGTCAATCAGCGGCAGTTACAGCCCCTCTCCTAAGCCAGGTAAGTCCACTACGGGCTCACCACAACCCGTGGTCTAGGGATATAGTACTGGATACGCTAAGGTACCTGGAGCCCTGGCTGGCTGCCTGACCTGGTCAGTGGCCTGGTTCTGGACCTGGACAATAGTCTGAAAATGGTCACTGACCTGGTCAGTGGTCTGGTCCTGAAAATAGTCTATGACCTAGTTACTGATCTTGTACTGTAAATAGTCTCTGGTATAGTTATGGACCTGGTCAATGCCTGGTTCTGGACCTGATCAGTGGCCTGGTTCTGGACCTGATCAGTGGCCTGGTTCTGGACCTGGTGAGTGGCCTGGTTCTGGACCTGGTGAGTGGCCTGGTTCTAGACCTGGTCAGTGGCCTGGTTCTGGACCGGGTTCTAGACCTGGTCAGTGGCCTGGTTCTGGACCTGGTCAGTGGCCTGGTTCTGGACCTGGTCAATGGCCTGGTTCTGGACCTGGTCACTGGCCTGGTTCTGGACTTGGTCAGTGGCCTGGTTCTGGACCTGGTCAATGGCCTGGTTCTGGACCTGGTCACTGGCCTGGTTCTGGACTTGGTCAGTGGCCTGGTTCTGGACCTGGTCAATGGCCTGGTTCTGGGCCTGGTCACTGGCCTGGTTCTGGACCTGATCAGTGGCCTGGTTCTGGACCTGGTCAGTGGCCTGGTTCTGGACCTGGTCACTGGCCTGGTTCTGGACCTGATCAGTGGCCTCGTTCTGGACCTGGTCAGTGGCCTGGTTCTGGATCTGGTCAATGGCCTGGTCACTGGCCTGGTTCTGGGCCTGGTCACTGACTTTGTTGTGGGCCTGGTCACTGGCCTTGTTGTGGGACTGGTCATTGGCCTTGTGGGCCTGGTCAGTGTCCGGGTTGTAGGCCTTGTCAGTGGTCTGGTCCTGAACCTGGTCAGTGTCCTGGAGCTTGGAGAGCCCGTGTACTTGAGCCTTGCTCTCTGCTGGCGTGAAGACACTGTGGAGCTGGTGGGTGGACTTGCTCACTGCCAGCCCCCACAGTCGCTGGTAGAGACGCAAGCAGGTCGCGTCCACCACCCGCGGGTCCACCTCCTCTGGCGCCACTGGACCTGTCCATGTCTCTACAATTATTTCAATGGCAACACTCTTTTTAACAATATACATCACATAACAGGGAGTCAAGAGGTGTTTAGTTTTGTTGTTGATATTTGTGGCGTTGTGTTAATTACCCTTAATGTGCCGGTGTGTGTACTAACTTACTCTGCCTGCTGGACCAGGCTGTTGATTACTCTGTTTCCCGATATCAGTAAACTAGTGCAATTACTCCTGACCTGCATATCTCTTATTAAGTCTGCATCCATAAGTCTGTCTGTCCAAGGACGGAAGCTAGATGCTTTAGGCTAGTTCACTCAAGTTTGCAGAATGATAGCAGAGGGATAGGTAACCAACATCGGTGGGTCGGGGCTGCCCAGTGCTGTCATTAAAAAAAGGTTGGTTGCCATGGTGACCCCACCACAAAATTTGATGATTTTGCGTAACAGAGTACCTAGAAATTTTGCTCTTTTCTCTCGAATGTCTGGCTGTTGAAGGATGGAGACCTGATGTTTGGGCCGAGTCTCACTCAACTTTGTACCATAATTGCTGTTGGGTGCATATCCAACATGGTCTGGTAGGGATCACCGTACTTCATGAGAAAACTGCATTGATTGCATTGATATTGAGAGAGAGAATGATTGCATTGATATTGATTGCATTGATACATCCTAACCTTTCCGCGTAGGCCGGAGGACTCAAACAGAAAACGGAACAGTACGTCACTTTTGTGAGTCAATTTCATTTCGAATTACGTCTACTTTTGGCCATAGCGCGCATACCAGCGAAAAGCGACATTATTTTTAAGAGGACGGGTTCGGGTAGCACCAGATACTGTGTGAGCTTGGAGCACAAGGTAGGAAACTTTGAGGATGTAATTAGGTACTTTTTTATTTTCTCTTGAATAAAGTATAGGTTGGAAATTGTTCTAAATTAATAATAATGATTCATTATGTAGACAAACAGGCAGCCAGTTTATACATACAGAACTGTATCTGTTAGGCTTATATACGAGTTTCCCCCAGGCATGAATTACTGACTCCCCCAGGATGCAACCCCACAACAAGCTGACCAACTCTTGATGCATATTTACTGCTAGGTTAACAGGGGCATTTGGTGATAAGAAAGAAGTCCAACCATTTCTGTGCTGCCCAGGATTCAAACCCGGAACTCTTGATTGTGAGCCAAGAACGAACCTGACTGTACTACTATCAGACTAATATAATTGCCAGTCAGGCAAATATATTCTAACTGATGAAGTTAGCCTAGAGAAATACAAATTTCTGACTTGGACAGTTATAAATGACAAAGTTTGGCTACTATAAATTTTGAGGTGATTTATATATCTAACCAAGAGTAGTAAAAACTCATAAATAGGTCAAAAATAAAATAAAAAAAAAGCAGCGCTGAACGTAATTAAACGCGAGTTTTTGGGTGAGCCCTGGAGCCTACCTGAAGCTATCCCACTGATATAGTGCTATCTTATTTGGGGTCATCAGTCACAGAGTTCTTGTTGCCTACCGAGGACCAGAGCCAGAACCTGGCCCCCCTCAGAGAGGTGCAGGGAGCAATGTCCTATAAACACTTTAGCATCCAGAAAGGTAGGCAAATCAAAACGAACCACTGTCTGGTTGAAAATTGTGATCTACACCCTCAAAAGAGGCAAAAGAACTCCCAAAAAATTAAATAAATAACCCTTCGTCCAACATTGCCCCCGACTCGTTAAGTGCCACAACCCACCCGCCTACCCACTGCAGGGGATGGGGAAGTGGTCGAGGTGAACCAGCCACCCACCAGTTCAGTTCTTGAATGATGAAAGCCACTAACCAGAGGAAGAGAGGGTGTAAGGGAGCCTTTGGGGCTCACCCAGAAACTGACATTTCATTACATTCAACGCTGGTTTTCTGTGGGAGCACCATCGGATCACTGAAACTAACTACAAACAGAGAACGAAAACAGAGGCGTACCATGAAGGCAGCAGCACTGCAGGTATCAACACGAGAAAGAGACAGATGGCCGTGACAGGCACCCCAAGGTCACACAAGGCTGCAGAGGAACTGGGACATTCACAAGATATCTGGTGGCCAGCACCCTGTTTGACTTCCAAAATCCCCCATCCCCGTAAATTGTCACAAGACGTGTTGCTAAAGATAGCCAAAAGAGCGGCATACCTTCGAACACAATGGGCGCAAGGGTAGACCACAGACTGGCTAGACTTAATGACACTGCAGATAACCTGAGAAACATGAGCCCTGAAAAAGGGAACCAGGAAACCGGATTAACCGACCGGTGGATGCGTCCACCAACACAGAACCGGTAACCCATAGGTAGTGGCACAAAGCCACTACCCAACACAGCACATGCACCTACAGCCAAACCAACCAAGCATCCACCACCAATGGACCCCTCCGGAAGCCCGCCATCTTATTCTTTACCAGAAAAGAAGGAGTCGGCTGCGAACGAATAAAATGACCACCGGGACCAAAGGAACAAAATCTGCAGCACCAGAGATAAGCACGAAGCTTCCCAACCTGACCCCCAAAGGCCAAGGCAAATAAAAACAATGCCTTCCAAAAACAATCACAGACTGAAAGGGGTAACCACATACTGAGGGAAATAAAAAAAAAAGAATCCAATCCAAGAACTAAGAAGGTTCAGGCAGTGCATGAGTAGGCCGGAGGTGAAAAAATGAACGAGAAAACTTGCGAAATGGAGCGGAAGTGACATCCACCCAAAATGCAAGCTGCAGCTGCCACACCAACACCGCACGATAAAAGACGACAGAATTCGGCATGAAATGCCGATCCAGGAAAAGCCAAGAGACAAAGGAAAAAATACCCCGGTCTAACACCGATGAATCCCAACGAAGAGAAAGAAAATGGGGATAAGAACACGAAGAGACTTGATATTGTTACTGAGACAAAGACCGCAGGTGAGACACTGTTACGACCCTGGGTTCTCCAGTGGAAACCAGAGGTCAAAATTGAGCTATTAAACTTCCTGGTAGCACAGTTGGGCATCTAGAATGTCAATTGTTTGTATCTTCCCTGCCAGACGTAAGACTATTATTGTTTCTCAAAGAGCATTTAAAGACTGAGCTGGGGGTTGATTATTAAATAATAACATAGGCACCAACTTTGCTTACTAATACTTTCTAATCATTCATAAAGTAACAATACGTTGCATAGGGGAAGATCTTTAATGTGCTTAGCTGCACGATCAATTAGGCTCCTCCCGGCACCACGACATGAGGGAGGCAGCTGGTGGCTAGCTCGGTCTTCTCTGGCTGGTGTGGTGCGGTATAGACCTACTCTGTGGCTGCTCCCCTACTCTCCTTCCTTCTCCTCTTACTTATTTCCCTTACCTGAAGTTCCTGTATCCTTAAGCTAAGTACAGGGCATTAGTGAGTGTGCCTACTCTGGTAGTAACGATTGGTGAGACCTGGGGATAGTATTTTGCCAGTGTTTGGGTACCCCTAAGTGTTGTGTTTTGTATTAGGGTCCCACGTGGTTTCACTACCCTAAGCTGCATCCAGCTTCAGTGCTTATCCAGTAGTACTTTACCCTAGCTTGTTATTAGTGTAAACCTTGTATCCTGCCTACGTGGACCAAGGCTTTTAACGTAAGATAGTGTGGTAAAGTTATTATTATTATTGTTATTGGTGTGAGTGTATATGGGGGGTTGTTAAGGGGTTAATAAATAAGTACATGAATTACAGAGTATCTCTTCTTCCAAGGTGGGAGCGCAGTGATCAACCCTTAGACTAACATTTATGGTCTTGTAGCAAGTTATTACTACTGTGGATAGTTTATTTTGGGGGCCGGGCCTTTTAGCTCTCCCATATTTGATACTCTTGTCTTCTAACTACCTTTACCCCTTAATATTACCAGAACCCCATAGAAGCCCCACTCATATCAGTTTATAACAAGTGGTTGGCCAGTCCGGGAGGAACATTATAAGTGTAAAAAATTAGATTCTTGAGTGCCAAAATTAAAAATTTTTATTTCTGCAGAACGGTTGTGTGCTAGCCTAGGGTCCAGCTCATCTAGCAAAGGACATTCTTGCACTGACTGGACACCCAGCTGGATCCCTTCACGATTAAGGTTAGTGTGGCCTTGTGTTAGGGGCCGTGCAAATTTTTGTTTTTTTTTCCAATTTTTATTTTTTAATTTTTTCTTTGGCTGGGAGCTAAAATTATTAGTGATGTCTTCTGAAATGCAGAACCTGGCAAGGGAGCCTTCAGTGGTAGAGATAAAGAAACTTAAAAAGTCTAATTTAGTATTGTTAGGCCAGGAATTTGGCCTAGAATTAAATGTCGCAGATAAAAAGTGGACTTTGGTGAATGAAATATTACAACATTGTATTGATGAACAACTATTGGCAAGTGATACACCTTTATGCCAGCCTAGCCAAGCAGAAAGTGCAACTCATAGGGAAAGTGAATTAGCTTTAGAGTTAGCAAAAATAAAATTAGAGGAGCAAAAACTCAAAACCGAGGAGGCTAGAATTAGAGCGAATGCCACTGGACCTCCACCTGCCGGGGATTCAAACCCCAGGCATTATGAGAAAAAGCATAATTTGCCTGAATTTTCCGAGTCTGACCCTGAAAGGTTTTTCAACCATTTTCAGAGAGTGGCCACGTCCATGAACTGGCCAAAGGAAGAGTGGGTGAAAATCCTACAGGGAAGACTTAGGGGTAAAGCACAAGATATTTTTATAAACATGCCTGACGACGAGTGTTTCGAATATGATAAAGTCAGGGAATGTATTTTGCGGGCATATGAAATTACTCCTGAAGCTCACCGCCAAGTTTATCGTAACCTTAGGCCTACTCACAACCAACCGCTCACTGAATTTGTGAATGATCAAATTCGATTATTTGATAGATGGATTCGCTCGGCGAAAGCCGAAACATACGAGGCTCTCAGGAACTTAATTTTAATGGAGCATTTTATAGATGTTATGCCAGAGAACGTATCACAGTACATTAAAGGAAGGATAGAGTTAAATTCTAAAA